GTTAGCCAAGATGGTCTCGATCTCCTGACCTCGTGATCCGCCCGTCTCGGCCTCCCAAAGTGCTGGGATTACAGGCTTGAGCCACCGTGCCCGGCTATGTACTTATTTTTACAAATATATGTATGTATGGATTTTTATTTTGAAATTTAATTTCCAAATTATGAGAAATTTCCAAATTCACAAAAGTAAAAAGATTATAGAAGCCCACATATGCCCATCACTCAACTTCATTAATCGCCAATCGCTTTTCATATGTGATTTAATTAAGGTGATGAATTTTGTTTTGACCCAGATCCTCAGCACCTGGAGCTGCCGGTGACCCAAGCTTTTCCTGAGACTAAGGCTTCTGAGACTCCAGTGTTCAAAGGCAGCTCTAGGCACCTCACTCACCAAATGCACACGCAGCCCACACAAGAGCCTCCCGCCCTCAGGGGCAGAACCTCTGACCTGACACCGGGCAGGTGGGGCTCCCAGCACCAGGGACGTGGGTGGCCAGGAGAGGGACAGCAAGAGTAGAATGGCAGCCACGGCCACGTCTGTCCTGCCTGGCTGCTGAGACTGGGTTTTGTATTTTTAAAGGTTGGTAAAAGGAAAACAAAAACAGAAAACGCATGTGACAGACCACGTGTGGCCTCAGAGCCTGATCTCTCCACAGGTGGCACTTTAGGATGAAGAGAGCGCTGTCTTCAGGAAGTCTGAGCCTGAGGCAAAGTAACTTCTCCATCAGGAACAACAGCACACAGATCCTTCCGGAAAATGCTGGCAGTCCAGTTTCTTTTTCAAATATTTACACTCATCTACTAAAAACCCACCAACCTGTCCAAGTCTTGTGAAAAATCTGTACACCACCGAAGGTTTCCCATGGACGGACTCTCCCACACTGTCCCCTTCAGACATTCTGTAACTGGGAGAAAAACACAAAATACTTTTCAATAAAAAGCATTCAAGGGTGTGAAATCTTGGCCCTATTTTCACCAACACTGTCACGTAGGTTTCTTCAACATTCAGTATTCTGTCCATACCATTTGTGTTTTTATCATGAACTGTTCGGGAAAAAGTAGCAGGTGCACAGGCTTCCGTGGAGGGGAAGGGCAGCGTTAGACACATGGGCCCAGCACAGGCCGCGTTTTCATTCCCACTCCAGCACCTCAGTCACCTGCGTGGGTGGCACTGTTCACCCCACTGGCCCCAGGAGCAGCCTTGGTGCCATGGGGTCCACTGGCTGGTCTATGGCATGTGGCACTGCACGTCCTCCCTCCAGGGACCGCATCCTCTGTGGATCCCTCAGGGTTCCCCCACCCAGGCACCCTGTCTGCTCCACGCCCTGTCCTGGGTCTCTGGTCTGGCAGGAGCAGGAAGGGTCCTGTCCTCTCAGGGCCAGGTCCTCCACCCCACGAACAGGAAAATGTTACCTACAACTCTCAGGTAGTGCATCCATCTGCGTCCCAGTTTCTTATCTGGCAAGTGGAGGTAACATATCTGCTCCTATTTCAACACACTGCTGTGATGCCCTGAGGAGTTCACCTGAGAACCCACGTGCCAGAGGTCACATTGTTCACCCACTTAATTCCCAGATGCCCAAGTGAAGGGCATCATTACCCACATTTCACCAAGAAGGACCTAGTCTCAAACAGTGGAAGCCACGTGTCCAAGGTCCCGCCACAGCTCTGCTTCTGGACAGGCCAAGCCAAGCCTGACTGCCACCTGGCTCCTCAGCCGAGCACGCCACCACCCACTCCCAGGACGAGACGGCATCAGGACCTGCCGCTCTTCAGGAAAGCGCTGCTGAGTACCCAACGCCTGCCGGTTGTCATTCCTACTTTAGAAGATGAGATGCCTGCTGGCCCCTGAGCTAGAGAAGATGCCAGGGGCGCATTCCTCTCCCCCACCACCCCCATCTGCTGCCTTGGCAGGGCAGTGAGGAGAAACAGACTCCGGCCTCAAGTTTGGCCTAAAGTCCCGCCTGTGCTAAGCGGCTGTGAGGCCTTTAACAAACCCTCTGAGCACGCAGCAGCCGGCCTCGGTTTCCTCATCTGTAAAACGAGGCTCTAAGAAACACCAGACACGAAAGCAAAGACATCGTTCCTCGGCAACCCTTGGGGTCAGTCTTACTGTTCTCATGCACAGGTAAGAAAACTGAGGCTCACAAAGGCTAAAGCATTGTCCTGGCCCATCAGCATGTTCACAGTGGGCAGGAGCTGAAACCCGCATCTTCCTGAAACCAACGCTCCTCCAGTCCAACCCTGTGAGCGCTGGGGAAACCTTCCCTGCGGGTGAAAGGCAGAGGGGGCCAGACGCAATCCTGCCCTCAAGGGCCTCGGCTCTCCCATCACAACTGATGCGGGGAAATGATCCAGGCAGCTCCCTCCACGTCACCAAGTCTGTGCACAATGTGGCTCCGTGACACCATTCCTGGATCCTGCGGAGTGCCAGGCCGGCTCGAGGAGACCGAGGGGCCCTTTGGTCTCACAGAGCCATGTAAACCAAAGACACACAGGAGGAGCACTTTCACTCTCCACTGAGAGAACTCCGTATTTAAATAGAGGCTACACTAGAATGCGCCACCTGGAAAGGCCACCCTGTTTAGGCCAAAGCCAGGCATCTGAAAGACACGCATCACATTCTTCGTCTTGTAGTTCCTTACAATTTTCCCCGTTTTACTCAGACTGTTTCCCATTGAAGCGCTTTTACTTGACTGCAGGTGATGAGAGTAATGTCAGTGAGAAAATACTCGGCTCTCCCACCAAAGGGTGTTCTCTAGGCAAAGTTCAGAACGTCTCTCTCTCCAGCTGAACGTGTAAAAAACCTACTCGAAACCCATCAGCCAATTCTGCTTCTCTGACACACACAACACGTATACCAAACACACACAGTCAGCTTGCACCCTGACTGAACGCATCACCAGGAATAGCCTGAGGCAGTGTGGCAGGAGCAAGAACGTGAACTTTGGACTCCAATGGCCTGCTTTCAGATCCTGGCTCTACCACTCTCTGTCAGTGTGACCAGGACAGGCTATTCCAGGATGCCTCAGGTTCCAGTCTGTGAAATGGGACAACAGCACCTCTCGTGCATTCTCCACGAGGCTCTTGCGAGTCGTCACTGGGCAGCCCGTGGAACACCCTTGGATCCAGGCAAGGCAGTGCCAGCCCTGTTCCCAGATCAAGGCCAGCCCTCACAGCAGCTGCCCCCACTGCAGCCCTCCTCTCTGCTCAGTTTGAAGGCCACCTCCTCTTCAGAGGCCTCCGTTATCGCCCACACTGACCCCCAGTACCTTACATCACATCACCCTGCTTTTATTTTGTGTACAACTGTTTCCTGATACCTTTCTGGCTTATTTCTCAATTTTCTCCTGCTAGAATGAAGCTCCTGGAGGGGTCCCTTGTCTGGTTCGGGGCTGGGCCCTACCACCTGGAAGTCCATTACATAGCAGACAGCCCATCAGTTACCTGCTGAAGGTGACTGCTTTATGTCTAGTCACAAACAAAACTGAAAGGGAGATCAAACCAGTCCAAACAGAAACCATGAGGACATGCCAGAAAGTGTGAAACTCTCTATGTGCCTTGTTCTAGGGCCCACCACATTCATCCACATCTGTGGTCCATCACTATGTGCGTGGTAAGGATGAAGTTCTCCGCCTGGGGTCCAGGAGCACTGCAGTCTGGGATGAAGTCCTCTGCCTGGCGTCCAGGAGCACTGACAGTCTGGCTCCCACCACCTTTCTCTTCACGACCCCATCCCCAATTCCCCAATTCCTCCGGGACTAGGAAAGCCCTGGCAGCGGTGCACCAAGCTTCACGCCTCTAGTGTTGTTCAGTCCTCTGAAATGCCCTCCCAGACCCCTTCTCTTCCTTCTTCCCAAGGCCACATTCCAGCCTGGGCTCCTCCCTCCTGACCATCGTACATCTCCACCTGGCTCTGACACACTGTAACCGCCGTCACCTCGGGCATACGGCAGAAGCAAAGCGAGTCTGAATTACTGAGAACCCTTTATCCACTTACGGGATAACTGCATTTCCTGTGAAATGTCAACCCAACTAAAAATAAAGTCTTTCCAGGACCAACGGCCAGCCTCTACTCTTCACAAAGGGAAAAGGGCGAAAGCCCACTGAAGGTACTCAGGCTGAAAGCAGCCCTCTGTGCTGTAAGACACCTGGCAGAGAAACGAACGATACCTTTATCAGCGGGGCCACAGACCAGTACTAAGTCAGCCTGGAGAATTTATGATTTTATTGCCTATTTAGAATACGATCAAAACCGATGTAACTAGTTTCCCTTGAGCCCGTCAGTAACGCCTTCAGCCCAGGGCTTAACACTAAATCCTATAGATAAGCGCTGACCTGGACGCAGGATGGGGAGACGGCATATCCCCTCTCGAATCCAGCCCAACTCGCAGCGCTATGGGGGCGGCGACTTCCCGCTTCCCCCAAATGCACAACAGGGGAAGCGGACGAGACGAGGCCCGGGTGGGGAGGGCTGCAGCCCCCGCCCGGCCCCTCTCCCGCTCACCTGCCCCTCGCA